TAAACAGATTTCATTGGCGCATTTACTATCCGATTTTGCAGCTTAGCTTGAAGAATTTTGTGATCTGGACCACGTGGTCTGTGTATTGACATTTCTGCACTGTCTCCCATATAATGCTAAAAATAGTAACAACGGTATCTATTAGAGACCAACCACGACACCGCTGTTTTATTATATAAAAACAAGGAGGGGGATAGTACTGATATAGTTGGTACATGATCTTATAAGAATAACAATGATTTTCAGTAATTATATTGTTATTCTAGACTCTCTATAGACCTATACAAAAAGAATATAGAGAGATAGAAATTTTATACCCTGAAATGGCTATTAATAAATTGCTTGGTTCCTACAATGTGATGAGTACTGCTTTTTAAAGAAGAAAAAGCTGCCTCATGCTTGCTCTACTCAATGAATTAACGTATGCTCCATTTTTGTCATTGAGTAGATCACCGTGTAAACTGTTTAATATAATATTTGTTTGTATGGGTACAATCTGATATGGAGTCTTTGCTAACATTTAGGTTGTCTTTAAGAAAAAAGACAACATTATAATCCCTAAGGATTAATTATGCTAGTTTTGGTTATAGAATAAGACATCCTTAATGTGATGAAGTCCTCTTACTAACAAATAAAAGAGGACTTCATACTTGATTGAGCCCTATATATATAGCCTTTGCTCCATATTATTAAATAGGGCTCAATTTCAACATATAGTATGTTATAGATTGTACCCTATATAAGAATGAATAAAAATTAAGAAGATATATTATTTATTTACATACAGACCAGCTGTTTATTATTTACAAGGGATAAAAATATAGATAAGAGGTGAAAAATGGAGTCTTTATATGACATTGTAGGTATCATGTAGCCACAACCCAATTTTGATTGATCATGTACCAGGGACAATAAAAATAAGTGATAGTGTACAGTCAGTATTTAAGAAATATGTATTAAAATGTATTAAAAATGTAAATAAATAAACAATATAGTTGTCTCACCGTTTAACGGCCACTTTTTAGGACCACTTTTAAAATTAATTATATATAATAAAAGAAACAATAGATTATTTACAATAAAAAGTATCTGACCTGTACACTATTACAACTTTTAAAAAATCTATACTTAATGGAGCTCTAAATGATTGTCACAAGAAGAAAACAAAACAAAAACAATAAAGTAATGTCGGCAACACCCATTGATAGGTAATTGGAAAATTTGTACAGCTGCTATATGAATGTACTATAAATGTGCTAAATGATATTTAAGTGAAATATACCAATACAAGTTAAAATTTGACATGGAGGAGATGCGCACCCAAGGAAGGAAGGCGACCATAAGTTACTATAGAAAATTTCCACTTAAAATAAAACCACTAAAGTAGGTATTATATTAGTGCCATATATATAGAAAACAGTTAGAATTCTAATTAAACAGCCTGGGAACGAGGTTTTCCCTGAGGTACGGGCCTGTCCACACGCTCAGGTCAACCCGCCCCAAACCTGTCTTTATCAAAAATTTATTTAAACATTACATTTATCATTTAAATTATAATTTGGCACCCCGGTTGGTAAAAGTTTAAACAGATTTCAGTATTTTCTTGTAAAGTGTTAATTTCCCCTCTGACAGATTATATTTATATGTTTTATGTATAGAATTTCCTTTATAATAATAATTTAAGGACATTTTGCCATTTATTCACCTTAGAAATCAGTTGTAATACATTCCATATGTTCCTTAATAATTGTATTGAGTATGTTTATAGAGTAGAACCAATAATAACACAAACATTTAAGTGGTGGGAGGACAACTCCTACTTATACCAGAAATTTTCCTTTTATAACTATAAATCTTATTTTTTCCCTATTATATTATCAAACATTGTTTTTCACTGAATAAAATTACATATTTATATTCTAAACAGATCATATTATAACCATTTGATCTTTTTATGGCTATTATTGATTGTTTCAAACAGCAAATTAAAAAAATGGACATCATTAGTCCAAATTTGAGTTGCTTCCCTTGTGTTATGTATAGCTATTATCTGAAGTTTAGTAATTTAAATATTAAGTTTACATGTCATAGGTAATTGGCCATATCTTTTTTAATTTTCAATAAATTTTGATGGGATTTTCTTTATTATCTTACTAAAAGATTGCTCTTAATTATTATAATAATGTGGCATTTGTAAACAAAGAACTTTTTCTTTTGGGGGAGTTTAAGTTGGTGTAATTTTTCTTGTTTATTGTTAAATTAACTATTTACCACATATTTGATATACTGTATAGGGAAATAACTACAACTTTTTTAATAAACCACAAAAATTAATGAGAATTCTTTTATTTAGACCCTTAATGGTGCTAGTTAATTATTATTAATTAATAGTATGGGTATTTCAATTGTATTTGGGTTTTATTTATGGTTTTACTGAGCCATATTATGTCAATAAATAAAAATTTCACTGATTTTCATAAATATCTGTATTATGATTTGTTTACTATCATAAATGCAAATTAAGCATTTTTGGCTGAACTAGCTATTAATCTAGTTTGTATTTAATGATTTGAGTTATCAATCAGCCATTAGTGAAAATTGGACAATTATTTGCTATATTTGATATTGTCAAAACTATAAATCCAGATAAAGGAACCGGTATCAGGGGACTGAGTATACAAACTGGGTACCATTAACACCTATTGATGAATTAAAATAAGATAAACAAATAGTGCAGTCTCTATATTGATGTCAGAGGGGAAGAAAAGTAGGATTTTACATTAAAGACCAGTCATGACTTCATATATTGATATGACTGCTTGGATCAAGGTCACAGTTGTATTTGGACAAATAAATTAACATTAAAGCCCCATCACTAATATACTTAGTCATAATGGGTTATTATTTGTTTAAATTTTATCTGTTAGACAACAGTTTAGAATGAATAACTCTTAAGCTTTAAAGATGTGTACTGAGTAATGTCTTTGGTGGGCTTAGTATATTTTGTGTGTTATATCCCAAACCTACAGCACCAAGTGCAGACCGCAGTTCATTTCTATGGTCCCTGAACTGGTCGCACTCATGCAATAGGTGGGTTATATTATATCTCACTCCGCATTGGGCACAATTGGGGCTCATTTGATTGATAAATTGGCCCGAATCCCCTGGTAATAGGGTTGTGCCCAACCTCAGTCTTGTTATAGCCCTATCTATTTTAAAATTATTTGAATATTGACTTGGGCGACTGAGCCCCACTGAGTTATTTATATGTTTTCCCTGATCCTGGCGGGTATTGAATTCAGCCTGCCACAAATTAACTATATATATTTTTTTATTTTGGAATATATCTCAGTGAGGGAGAGTGAGATTGATTCAGTGACATTGTTGAGGTTTAAGCCCATTTTGGCCGCCCTGTCTGCCTGTTCATTGCCTGAGATCCCTATATGTGCTGGACACCAAACTATGGTAACCTGTTTTCCTAGGTTTAGGACTTTATTATATAGAAGAATTATTTCATTTAATAAATCTGGTCTCGACTGACTGTTGTTGGATTTCAGTGAGATCAGTGAAGAAAGTGAATCAGAGAAAATGACAGCTTTTATTATATTACTGTCTTGGATCCAGCACATAGCATTTCTAATAACAAGGAGCTCGGCGGTATAGATGGATGTGTTATTGGTTAACCTATCATTTTTTTCATATTGTATGGAAGGTATAACTACTGGCCGAGGCAACCCTGCCAGAGTCCGGGTCCTTTGATCCATCCGTATAAATGTGTGTTTGACCTATATATTTGTTAATTAAAATTTTTGTTTCTGTATTTGCGAGATGCGGCAAATCAGATTTGTTCACTTTTTAATGTGATGTCAACCTCAGGCAAGGTCAGGGTCCACGGCGGAACCTCCATGGGCCGCTTCTAAACAATGTTTGAATCCTTGATACCACAGTCCTCCGCCAGGTCCTGCGTTGCAGCACCAAAGGGGAGGACTGGGTCTTTTAACCTATTTAGTTTATTATAAGTGGCCTTTTCCCAGCAGTCCACGTACCGGGTTATCTGCCTCAGAGGCTCGAACCCGGGTATAATATTTTAAGGTTTGTGATTTCCTCCTTATTGATAAAGGTACTATACCGGCCTCCACCTCCAGGTCCCTTGCAGGTGTGGGGTAAAGGGCCCCCAGGGCCAATCTGAGAGCAGTGTTTTGTACGGTGTCGAGTTTATTTAAATGCGTTTTCTTAGCACAAGAATAGATTTGAGCACCATAATCTACAGTTGAGTTCACACTAAACTTCCCACCCTTGTGCACTTCTAGTGCACTAGAGCTGAACTAGTAGTGCACACCGTGTGCACTTCTAGTGCACTAGACCATATGACTAGGCTGGCCAGTGAAGGTGACACTTAAATGGTTTATTGGATAATTGCATATCAAGTGACAGGGGGCATCCATTGTTAAGCTGCTGTAAGAAAAAAAACTTTGGAATATATGGCCTATTCATGAATATAAATAAGTAAATTTTAAAATCAGCAGTTTTAACATTTAGGTGATATAATGTTAAAGCTTAAAATTATTTTTTTTATTTATTGTAATCATATTTTTCTTAACCAGTATTAAGTGAATGTGTAAAATAATACCCCTATAAAATCAAATTTATAGAATCAATAAGGTTAAATTTAAATATGCTCCGTAATGGATAATTTAATAAGTGTTTTTAAAGCTGTTTTTTAATGTATTTCAATTTTCAAGTGCACAAATGGGAAAATCAATGTGATAATTCTGGCCCGATTAATTTAGTTTGTAACAATATAAACTTTTTTCATAAGCGCAAACAAATCAAGGAAAGGTTTATATTTAAGCTAAAATATTATTTCTATAATTTAAAATTCCCTTAGAGACTACCCAAATGTTCAAAAATTGGGAAAGAAAATATTAATACATTGTTTTTTAAAACAATCAAAAACTGTAAAAATTTTAAAGTTTTCAAATGTGTAATGTTTGGCATATGTTTTAAAGATATAAATAATTAAAATATTATACATAAAATAAATAAATTTTATAACTTTATTCATGATTTCAATATTGAAAATTTAATGTATAAAGGGAATACTTTTATTGAAGATGAAAATCTCAAGTCATGCTGTGTATTAGTATTTTCTGAGAGGGACTGTTCGTTATACAACTCTCCTGCTGATAAGAGGGCATCAGGGTAAATAACAAAGAACAGTCAATTTTGCAGATTATAAGTATGCAATGAAAATCCCTGGTTTTCTCAAAATGCATGTTAGACATAAGCCTGGGATTCATCAGGCGTTGGCACTCAGGCTTAAGTTAGTCATATAGATAAATGACCATATTTTTTTTATAATCAAATATACAAAAAAAATCATAATGGCATAAATGCATATTAGATATTATTTTCTCTAAAGCAGAATTTTCTATACTTATACACATTTCTTGCCATTCTGCATAATCACTTAATAACTTAAGAGGCAATTCCTAATGTTCAAGATTGAAAGAAAATATTAATTTATTGATTTTAAAACAATCCATACACTGTGATATTATATTTTTCAACCATGAAATGCTTGCATACTTTTTAAAGATATAAGTAATTAAAAATTTTCAATGAAATAAATAAAATTGATAACTTTATTCAAGATTTCTATATTGAAAATTTTATGTATAAAGGGAATGCTTTTATAATTATACAAGAGGAAAGTCTCAATACATGCTGTGTATTTTGGTATTTTTCTGAGAGCGACTGTTTTCATTACACTGGTCTCCTGCTGATAAGAGGGCCTCAGGGTAAATAACAAAAATGCAGATGTGTGCAATATTTATTCAAAATTTCCTGTGTTTTTTTTCCAAAATAAATGTAAGCATAGATAAATGAATATAATTTTTGTTATCATAATCAAATGTAAAAAAAATAATCATAATGGCATAAACGCATGTTAGATATTATTGTCATTATTGTCTTTGAAGTGGAATTTTCTAACCTTATCATAAAAACTGGTCAGTGTTAACCATTCTAGAATTACCTCATATTAATATTTATCCACAATTCTTGCAATTCTGCAATAAAATCTGCACTGGGAAATGTTAATTTTTTCTATTATAGATTTGACAAATTTGTCTTGTCAGTTTTAACACATTTAGAAGATAATATATTTTAAAGAAAATATTTAAAACTTTTGCAACTTCCATTTCACATGAATGCAGATCTTTTTTTTTTAAAATAAAATATCATACATGAGCAGAAAGCAGTTAAAGAAGATTAAAGTGTCAAAAGTCATGCTGTGTATTGGTGTTTTAATATAGTACCCTGCTGATAAGAAAGCCCCTCAGGGTAAATAACAAAAGGCAGATGATAAATATAAGTAGGCAATTCTGTGTTCTCTGGATATTGGTGCAAATAAATTTCATTACAAGTAGTACAAAAAGAAAACTGAACTATTTTTGCATTTTATAATAAACTCATAAAAATAATCATAATTTATTGCATAATTATGTTACAATGCCTGAAAAAAAGATTGGTGTTTTCTCAAGAAATAGAATTGAAAGATTTTCTATATTTTTGTTAATATCCATGTAAGTTAAAGTATACTAGTGTCCCACAGGTACATATCAATACTTAATCCACACATATCAATACTTATTCACATTTCATACATACCACCATTAGAATTATATAAATATTTATTTTCAGAATAATGTATATCATTTATATTAATCTTAGGTAAATCTCAGTTTGAGAAGGTAAGAGAGATTATAAATGAGATAAAATTGATAAAATTTAGGCCAATTATAAACATATTAATTCTTTAATGTATTAAAGGCTATTAATGCTTGAAATCATTACCTTTAACTAAAACAACAATAAGTTCAGATCAAAAATAACTAATTGTTATAATCCCCCCCCCACCTAAAAAAAAAACAAAAACAAAAAAAACAAAAAAACAAAAAATGACTTAAATTTGTTGAATTAGCATTTCAATGTTTCATATTTTCATAACCAGATTATAAAAAAATAGAATCATATTAAATATCAATTAATTTTATTTATTTATTCACTTATCAACATTAAAGTAATAATTATTTATATTTACTTATTCTAGCAATTAAGTTTTAAAGTACAAAATCAGTAAAATCAATGACTGAAAAATTATTGTTCAATTATTTTACGCCATATTTTACAAAATCCAATATTCTCAACTTCAAATTTATCATGAAAAAACTATAATACAGCTACCTTTTTGTAAAAGTTAAATTGCTATTCATTGAAATAAAAGGTAACTGCTTGAAACATATAATAGGTCTGGTGCACTACAAAGTGCACTAATGAAGTGCACTAGTAGTGCACTTTGAAGTGCACTAGTAGTGCACCTCTAATGCACTCCTAGTGCACTTTGTGTAACCTTTAGTGTGAACTTAACTGTATCTTTGAACGTATTAAGGATTTATATAGAAGTAATAGGCTATTCTTGTCAGTCCCAAAATCAATGCCTTTTAACATCCTCATGACATTTAAATCCTTTTTACATCTGTTGACCAAATCCTTGATATGCGGCCCGAATGTTAATTTTTGATCTAATAGTAAACCTAGGAATCGGACCGTTTTAACAAAATTAATGGGTGTACCACCTAAAGATACGTTCAAATTGTGCTTTTTTTGATTGCCAAATACAATACCCACAGTTTTAGTTTCAGATATTTTAAAGCCCCATTTTTGTGCCCATCCCCATAGAGAGTCCATGCCAGCTTGTGCATCCTTGGCTAGCTTAACCAAATTGGACCCAGATTTCCAGGTGCTGGAATCGTCAGCAAACTGGCTAATGACCATACCAGAACCTGAGAGAGATTCTGGTAAGCCGTTAATAATGATAGAAAATAGTAACGGCGAGAGGATCGAGCCCTGGGGTGTGCCACGCTCCACTGGCTCTGTGTCAGACATTGAACCCTCAACTCGAACCAATATTTTCCTGCCCTCTAGAAAAGACCTTAAATACTGGAAGCAGGCGCCTGTCACACCATGTTCTTTTAACTTATATAAAATACCAAAGTGCCATGTAAGGTCAAAAGCTGCTGTTAGGTCTAAAAAGATAGCTAGCACTGATCGTGATCTGTTTTTTGCTAGGATCACGTCGTGTTGCAGTCGAGCAAGCTGGTCTAAAGTGCTCCTACCCTTTCTGAATCCAGATTGAAAGGGGTTAATAATGTTTTTTTGATTCCAGCAGGTATTCTAAACGGGCCTTAACCATTCCCTCCAGCAATTTCCCTGAGTGAGATGTAAGGCTAATAGGTCTATAAGATTTTGGTTCTGTTTTGTCTTTACCATTTTTGTATATACATAATGTAGGTATGACACATGCCTCCTTCCAAGCATTGGGGTAAATCCCCTCAACCCACACCTTATTGTACAACCTGAGCCAGATGTCCAGCACCCCCTTTGGTAGGTGCCTGAACATCTGGTAGGTTATTCCATCCTTTCCCGCGGCGGAATCACGCCTTTTATTCAAACATGACCAAAATTCCGTGATAGTAAAAGGTAAATTTAAAGGCGTGTCATTTTCCCCCGGCTCATATATATTTTTGTTTTGTGACTCAAACTCAGCCTGGTATCTTAGGGTGTCTGGTAACATGTTTGAGTCACTGGAGACCTGTTTGTAGTGCTTTACTAGAAATTGAGCCTTTTCAAAGGGAGTTTTAGCATAATTTTGATTTAATCTTAATAATGGTACAGGATTTGTAGCAGAGCCTTTAATTCTTTTAATTTTCTGCCAAAATAATTTTGCACTACATTTCTGAGTGGACACTGACTCACAGAACTCTGACCAGTTTTCTTTTTTAGCTTGTAATATAGTATGTTTACAATTTGCTTCTGCTACTTCATAGGTTGTTAAATTTCCAGGACTTGGATTTTTTTAAAATTTATTTATAGATTTTTTTCTTTCCTGTACCGCTTTTTGACAATTTTCATTCCACCACGGGACAGACTTATGCCCACCTGCCCTCGGGGTGAAGGTCGGTATAGCCAGTCCACCCATGTCCATTATTTTTTCTGTTAAATTTTCAAGAAATATATTGATGTCATTACTGTAGACTTCCTCATAGGTAATATCCTGACATAATGTATGAAAAGTAGACCAATCTGCCTTTTCATAATTAATTTTTTTTTGTTTGGGTAAATTTTGGTTCTCATTGATTTTGGCATTTAGTGATATAATTAAAGGGAAGTGGTCAGATCCCATAGTATCATTTACTACACCCCAAGCCAAAGAAGCCGAAATTTTTGGGGAGGCTAAGGTAAGGTCTATACATGAGAGAGTACCTTGAGCCTTATTTAACCTAGTTGGTGAGCCATCATTTTAATTGAATTATCAATATGTATATTTTCTGAATTTAAAAATCTATTTATAAATTAAAACTATGTTTATAAGCATATACTGTGTATATGGTATAATCTCTTATTTTCCTATGTAATACAGATGAATGTTACATCATGGAGTTAAATATAAGATGGAGAAGAGACTGTGACGTCACACAGTTAAAATCGGTATAGGCAGAATTGTGTTACCGCAAGTTATCATATGTCGGAAGATTTTGCGAGAATTGATGTATCCTGGGTAAAAGTAGCCAAAATACCGCCATATTGAATTCCCGGAGGTCCATCAACAAAAAAGACTAAACATTTTTTACTTATATAAGAAGCAATAGTTATTTATTCTAAAACGTACAAAACACACTTTTCCACACAAATATTTCTCTGATGAAAATCCATGTCGGCAATGTCAACAATAATTCACCGATATCGCAAAAGTTAAACGATAGCGTGAAAATCGGAGACTAGCGGGAAAACCCGATTATCACCAAAGCGCGCAAAGGATTGTGGGTCTGAATCGGACTTGCGTCTATTTTCGGAGTGTCCTATCCGTTGTTTATATATCTGTGGTTATATGTATATATATATAAAAAAAACAGAGTGGCTGACTAGTCAGGTAAATAAACCAAACACACTAATAGTCAATATGACCTTGTATATAATTTTGTATGTCAACCAAAAGATCAAAAATATCTTAAATAATAAATAATGGTTGACCTATTAATCAATGATCTTATAATAAATAAGTTAAATACAAAATATTCAACTATATATGCTACTTAACAGGTGGTCGAACGTATAGCGGTGCGATACTCCTTTAAGCGAGGTGATTTCATGCGATACGCCCTAATGGCGGATTTACCCGTGTAAATACACGTCAGAATGAGTGTTTTTTATTAAGTTTTTCATAAATCTTCGGTTACAATTGCATATTTTGTATTGAGGATGTGAAGATAGGACCGACACACATTTCGTCAAAATTACAGAGGCCTAAATTCATAACTATAAAAGTTATTGAAGGTAAACTGACGGCAACTAATTTTTGGTCGGTGAATAAAATCGCTTAATGCAAGCTTATATTAATATAGTTAATTTCTTTTTTTTCTTTATTGTATAAGAGTAATCATAATTGAGTTGCATAGCAAGTACTTTTGTGCTCCGATATACATAGACGCTTACTGGTCAAAATATTTAAGTGTACGCTGGATTTGGGTGCGATAAATTAACTGTACGCTGTTAAAGGTTTGATATTTTTCATTATCACATCTGCTGTACATGTTTTCCTATGATTATACTAAGTATTTGCCCGTTTCCGGAATTCTGAAATCTTCTTCTTTCCTTAAAGATTAACTTGAAATAAAAGTTTGTATAACCATCTATATAAGTGTTTGGACTTAATTTGAATGATTAATAATAATTATCCTGTGATAATTAGGAGTTGATAAAAGGTAACCTTTACTCTAAGATCTTAGATAAAAAGTAGGAATTTGACCAAAATATGTAAGAATGAATTTAAAAAACCTATTAAGAAATCTTGTATAAATTAACATACTTTCAAAGCAGAACATTTCAGAAAAATAGCAGTTAATACATGTATGTTATATAAGGGCTGCTTTACTCCATGAGGTTCTAAGATCTTTTGTACATGCTGCTGTCAAACTGATATTTTTTCATATTATAAATAGAATTGAACATTTCAAACAACCTATTAAATACAGTGAAAGTACATTTCACTGCTGTTCTAGAGATAGAGACTGAGAACCAGGTGGTAAAAATCTTTAGGTGGTAAAATTCTATTTTTGTAGTGCACATAATTGTGGCCTGTCAGGAAAAAACACAAAACTACAATTTCAAAATTCAGTCAGTCATTGGACACCAAACAGCTCAGTGTCTGTCTTAGGAACAGCTGATGCTCATATTTGCAAATACACCGTTGTAAATGTTTCAGAGCAATTAAAACATTACAAATTGATTAACAAACAAAACTACTGCCAGATAGGTTAAGTACCACAAGTACAAATGCTGACACATGTGCAAATAAACAAAAAGCTTTTGAGTATATAATATTAGATTGAGTCACAATGCTTATGGAGTAGTATATAAATAACACATGGGTTTGTGGGTTACAGTTAAAATATCATCCAAAGGAAAATACTGTTAGCCAAGGTGTTAGCCGAGGGAAACAGTATTTTTAGGAGGGTTGATATTTTTACTGTTACTCACAAACGCTTGTGTGTTATTTATTTTATTTCCCGAACAGATACTGTAATCTATAATACTTTTATTTACATAAAAAACACTTGCCCAGATTTTATACTGTTAAAAAGTGCTGTTGGCCTGTAACGGTACAATTCTCTTGGTACACTTGCTTCAACTCCTTGTTGAAATTAATATTTACAAAAAAGTGAGGGGTAATACTATACATTAAATGATGCAGAGAAAGCCTAGTTTTAAAAGTAAAACTACTGGCAGATAAGTTAAATCACTAAAAGTATGAATGCTTTCATAAGCAAATACACAAAACTGTTTGGTATACACTGGTTATGGAGTAGTATAGTTATATATTCAAAGCGACAGAGCTAATGACAAACATCAGAATAACTGAAATACAATTATGTGCTCTGTATATAATATATAACATCCAATCCATAGAGGAAATCAAACCAGTTTTTTTTATAAATTTTAAGTTCCATTGCAAAAAAAAATAAATAAATGGAAGAAACAAAACGAATATTATCGTGACTATTGATTACTTGATAGAATTTCAAATTTATGTGCATAACTAATCTCATTTTAATGATTAACCTCTGTGAGAAAAGAATATTTAAATTAACTATATCATAGTATAATACATTAATTGACGCTGTTGTTTTTATTGACACTGTGGTTTTCATATGATTAACATAAAACTCAAAACTTGATATTTCATCAAAATTGAATAAGAATGTACTGTAATGAGGAAGTTACTACAGAAAAACATACCAACATTTGTGCGTACATTTAGTTTATCGGACCAAATATTAGGCGTACAGTAAGAAAACTGGAAATATTTTATATATTTTCGGATAGATATGGAAAACTACTCTTGTATATCGTTTTGTTTTCAAAATAAAACATGTTGGGACTTAAACTAATTGAATATCTCGTTTTAAAACGACTGATACATTATTCGTTTGCATGTGCATATCAGGTTGACAGTTGAATTTGCAACAACAAATACCTCAATAACTTCCTCAATTCTACAAAATTTAGTATTTTATTTTGACAATCATGCACAATTATAAGTTTTGATCAGCATGCACAATGCTATTCTTAAAAAAATTACAACAGACAACAAATATTTGGAAAAAAAAATGCTCATATCCACTTTCGTTTTCGCTCCAGTCCGCCATTAGGGCGTATCGCATGAATTCACCTCGCTTAAAGGAGTATCGCACCGCTATACGTTCGACCCCCTGCTTAAACAGTAGTTATTTATACTGATGATTACTTTATAAATGAGAACATATAGCTAGAGGATGAACGGGTTGGTATGGAGCTGGTATGGTACGTGACGTCTAGTATGTAGGTGGGAGGGGTACCGCTTGGCTGACGATCAACGTAGATTGTAGACTGTGAAACGAGTGTGTATGCCGTAGATAGTGACGATCAATAACGATGTAGTGTGCCAATATAATGTAACGTGTCTGTGCTTATAAAATGTCTTTTTATATCATAAAACTATAATGTTTGTAAATATTTTTTCTTTATTTACAATATGGCCTCCACCGGAAGCGGGTGAAGGGAGACAACTGTATCTGTCTGAGCGGTGTTTATCGGCTATTTAACACCGGTATTGTCGTTTTGGTGCGAAAAATTAACCACTCAGGCCTACGGCTTTCATGGTCAATTCTTACGCATGATAAACACCGCTAAGACCGGTGTTAATTCTTAAATAACACACACTTTTGGTTCTTCTATATTCAATAGGGAACAATGTGGGTCGTGTTAGAAAATATATTCTTGCATAGCAGACTGGCGTTTCCGTGAGTTTTACCCATGCCAGAAATTCCATCTGGCATGGGGGGTGCCAGATGAGTCGCGTGCCAAACAACAACGTCATTTTAGCGCACTTTATGAATGAACCGCGTTAAAATGACGTCGTTTTAGAAGGGAAATATGTGCTTAGGATGACGTCATTTCGCCGTTGTTATTTAAGTTGTAAGTTCATACGCTATTGTAAGAAAATAGTTATTGATGAAATGACTTTAATTTCCATGAACATATATCATATTGATGTAAACCATTTTAGATATGAAATAATATGGCAGAATATGCAAGAAAAAATATCTAACATATGTTTGCGGTTCGGACCGGAATATCCGTCCCTCGGGAACCCGCCCATGGGCGGTAACTCGGCAAGCCTCGTTACCGCCCAATGGGCGGGTCCCCTCGGGACGGATATTCCGGTCCGAACCGCAACATATGACAGATATTATTATTACATTTTTCAGCTGGATCTAATATATCAACTAATGACAGACTACTCGTATACAATTTCCTGTCTTTTTGCTGGAATTTACATAGCTGATGTAAGTGTTCATAGGGAACTAACCGATTAACTCTTCGTGTTTTTTACATAGTTTAATAAATAACGACAATCTACAAATTGAAGCAGCCCTTACAAAAAAGGAACGAGTAAGACTTGTACGATATGATATTAATTCCTAAGTGACCAATAATCTTTATTGTTGTCTACTTAGATGAAATTAACCAAAAAAATCCTAAGCCAACACAAATTTTCAAATTAATATATTTTCAGAGGCATTTGCAATTCATCACTTTTGTGTGGCAGCGTGGCCGAGTGGTTAACGCGCCGGACTAGTCTTAGAATTTCTGACCGCTTTGGTTCAAACCCTGTCAGGGGCAAGCCGTTGTTTCCTTGAGCAAGAAACTTTACATTCATTGCTTAGTAATGGTTGGTTCATGGAACGGATTCGAGAGCTTTACTATAAGCTTATAGCTTCCAATACAATCGAACTAAAATAAATTTGTACATGTATAAACTAAATTATCCCTTTTGTGACATATTAAAAAAAGGATCTTTCAAATGTTACCACATATACACATTCATGTAAAATAACCCTGCCCTGTCTGATATTTGTAGTGTAACGATAACCTGGATTAAATTCATGTATAAGATACCGGTAGGAAGTTAGCAGTGGCAGTGAGCAGTAGCAGTAGCAAAGTTATAAAACATGAAATTGGCAGTAGTAGAGCAGTAGCAGTAGCGCAGCAGTAGCAGTAGCAGAACAGTTGCATTAGCAAAGTTATAAAACGTGGTTGGCAGTAGCAGTAGCACAGCAGTAGCAGTAGCACAGCAGTAGCAGTAGCAAAATTATAAAGCGTGAAGTTGGCAGTAGCAGTAGCAAAATTATAAAACGTGAAATTGGCAGTAGCAAAAGCACAGAAGTAACAGTAGCGCAGCAGAAGCAGTAGCTAACTTATAAAACGTGAAGTTGGCAGTAGCAGTGGCACTGCAGTAGCAATAGCAAAATTATAAAACGTGAAGTGTGTCAGAGTGTCCGAGAATCAGTCGCAGACCAAAGAAATGAAACGTGTGCCTAGAAGTCAAACATGTCATAAACGCCATTGGCTATACAAAATTACAGAAAGTCTGCGAGTGTCACAGAATCTGGCAGGTCCTTAGAAGTCTGAATAGTCATTATCTGCATTGGTACCAACATTCCTTAAAGTCTGCGAGTATTAAACATTAAGTCGCAGGCCAATGAAAAATACACTTTAAGGTCCCTAGAAGTAAAAAAATCATTATTTCTATTGGCACCAACATACCTGAACGTCTTCAAGTGCCTCATACGTGCCTAGAAGTCGAACATGTCAATAAAACATTGGCAACAATAAACCCTGGAACTCTACGAGTGTTAATTTTGCTACTGCTGTACAACTTTTACTGCCAACTTCACGTTTTATAATTTTGCTACTGCTGTGCTACTGCTACTGCCAACTTCACGTTTTATAATTTTGCTACTGCTGTGCCACTGCTACTGCCAACTTCACGTTTCATGTGTCACATGCATCATTAGCCGCAGGTATCACGCGATGCACCATTTGTAGAAAATCATGTCTTAATATTGTTATGAATATTTCCACACAGCATGTGTTATATGTATCATGCATCTGCCGGTATCAAGCCAAACCATGTCTTTTATTGTAATGACTATTACCACACATCATTTGTCTAATGTATCTTGTATCTGCGTGTATCAAGCGAAACACTCACTTTGTTGAAAATCATGTCTCATATTGTAATGGATATTCCGACGCATCATGCGTTAAATGTATCATATATCCGCAGGATTCAAGCGATTCGCGGTATGTAGAAGATCATGTCGTCAACGATGCAGGAGAAGCGGATGGTGACTACATAATAAATGATTTCGCTAGATGGGCAGAGGCTTCAATACGTCATTTTAATTATGACCATGCTGCTTTGCTTACAGGGTAAGGAAATGTTTCTTCTTTTTTCCTTTTATATTTAAGAAATAATATATCCCAAACAGTGAATTTATCGCCCAATAACATCACCGTCTAGAGTTCGGATGCGATGAAGGGCGTAGCAAGAGGGAGTAGCAAATATAATGCTGCCGTACGTGATATTTAAAGCTAAATTGCACCAGGGTTGCGTTTCACTAACGCACTTTCGTTATCAGAAATCAAAATTGAACATAACTCTTTGCGTCAGCAGAACATACGTTTTATTTTCGTTTTACTAAACTTTCTTAGCTATATATATATATGCATTTGTGTAATTTTAAACGTAAAGTAACGCTCACTTACTGCTGGCGTAAGTTGCACGTTCTGTATAGTGAAACGCAACTAACGTAAATTTACGTTTTGCGTAAGTCCCAAATTTACATAAAAAGATACGTTAAACTTACGTAATGTTAGTGAAACGCTCGTCTGGTTTGTTTCCGTACATATTATCAACAGTGATTTTATTGCATAATAACACACACTTTCGGTTCTTCTATGTTCAATAGGGAAAATGCGGGTCGTGTTAGAATTCTCAATATTTCATATATTTCTATAAGTATATAATAAAAAATACTATTTTTTAAATCTACCCTAATTTTCATTCAAAATGTTGATGGTAAAATTAAAAAAAAACAAGATGACAAAAAAAAAAGAAAAAAACGCAATTATTGATAGAAGGAGCCTTGTTGAAGACGTTTGTAGGTAATGTAGAAGTTAAATAGATGTATATGGGCTTGCTTTGAATTCACGTATGACTTGTACATGCTCAGTATCTTGTAGTATTTTTGAATATTTTTTCAAACATTTTGAACAAATCTTTTCGAATTTAATGCCATTCAATGTTAAATGTCGAATTATTATGAGCGATACAATCAGTTTGGGATATATTATTTCTTAGTTATACTTAATATTGGTGCAAGTCATGTACTCGGTAGCTTGCACTTTATAGTACAGCCCCGTGAATAAGCTCAATAAATCTGCGCTTGCAATATTTTCAATTTTGTCGTTTAAGACATTCTTTATGGATTCTGTTTCTATATACTTCATCAATAACGCAAAGATTAATCCTAAAATATGTCAATTAAGCGACATTATTTACAATAGTATTTGTTTATCAAATAATTCATTACTGTTAAATACATATTATCAAATGAAAATGAAGGTCCATGTGTTATACTGTAAACCATTGAATGACAAATTTGGTTTTCAGGAGAAAAAAATCATAATGTTGACACAATTTCATATTTGAATTAAATATGATAATATATATTTACTAGAAGCGGTTTTTGTTAGTAAGTACAACACCGAAAGTTACACTTAAATGGACTTACAAAAAATTCGTTTCCCTAAATTTCGATAATTTTAAGTAAAAAATCACCATAAAGTTAGAATGTGTGTTGTCTGAAACAAATGCGGTCATGTTTGTGCTGGTTAACCCTAATTCGATAAGAAGTAAAAAAATTCTAGTTCATAGTCTACTAATTTTTATTGATATTTTGTTTTCTTTATATTTATATTTAGGCGCGATATCGGAACGAAAGAAGATGGTAAATTTACAAATGCTCTATACGGTATACACACTAATACATAGTAAAATATTGATTTGTTTCAATTAAATCTCATCATTTTTAGCTCACCTGTCACAAAGTGACAGGGTGAGCTTTTGTGATCGCTTTTCGTCCGGCGTCCGTCCGTCCGTCGTCCGTCCGTAAACTTTTACTTTAAATGACATCTCCTCATAAACCACTAAGCCAATTTCATCCAAACTTCACAGGAATGTTCCTTTGGTGGTCACCTTTAAAAATTGTTCAAAGAATTTAATTCCATGCAGAACTCTGGTTGCCATGGCAACCAAAAGAAAAAACTTTAAATATCTTCTTCTAAAAAAGCCAAAGAGCTAAAGCTTAGATATTTGGCATGAAACATCTTCTAATGAGTGTCTACCAAGTTTGTTCAAATAAAAGCCTTGGGGTCAAAATTGGCCCCGCCCCAGGGGGTCATTGATTTTCCCTATATGCATAAAGTAAAAACTTAAAAAATCTTCTTTGAAAAAACCCAAATAGCTAGAGTTTAGATATTAAGCATGAAACATCTTCTAGTGAGTGTCTACCAAGTTTGTTCAAATAAAAGCCCTGGGGTCAAAATTGGCCCCGCCCCAGGGGGTCTTTAATTTTCCCTATATGCATATAGTAAAAACTTAAAAGATCTTCTTTTAAAGAACCCAAAGAGCTAGAGCTAAGATATTAAGCATGAAACATTTTCTAATGAGTGTCTACCAAGTTTGTTCCAATAAAAGCCCTGGGGTAAAAATTGGCCCCGCCCTCGGGGGTCATTGATTTTCCCTATATGCATATAGTAAAAACTTAAAAAATCTTCTTTTAAAGAACTCAAAGAGCTAGAGCTAAGATATTTAGCATGAAACATGTTCTAATGGGTGTCTACCAAGTTTGTTCATATAAAAGCCCTGGGGTCAAAATTGGCCCCGCCCCGGGGGTCATTGATTTTCCTAATATGTGTATAGCAAAAACTTCAAAAATCTTCTTTGAAAAAACCCAAATAGCTAGAGTTTAGATATTAAGCATGAAACATCTTCTAGTGAGTGTCTACAAATTTTGTTCAAATAAAAGCCCTGGAGTCAAGATTGGCCCAGCCCCGGGTGTTATTGATTTTCCTTATATGTGTATAGCAAAAACTTAAAAATCTTCTTTGAAAAAAACCCAAAGAGCTAGAGTTTAGATATTAAGTATGAAACATCTTCTAGTAAGTGTCTACAAAGTTTGTTCAAATAAAAGCCCTGGGTTCAAAACTGGCCCTGTCCCAGGGGTGTCATTGTTTTTAACTATATGTGTATAGTAAAAACTTAAAAAATCTTCTTTTAAAAAACCCAATGAGCTAGAGCTTAGATGGTTAGCATGAAACATCTTCTTATGGGTGTTTACCAAGTTTGTTCAAATAAAAGCCCTTGGGTTAAAATTGGCCCTGCCGGGGGGAAGCAAGGGGGGGGGGGAGATAGATTGTTGTTTTTCATTATATGTGTGTTGTAAAACTTAACATCATGAAACATCTTCTAATGGGTGTCTTCCAAGTTTGTTCAAATAAAAGTCCTGGGGTTTTAACTGGCCCCGCTCCGGGTGCCTTTATACAGGTGAGCGACCTCAGGGCCATCATGGCCCTCTTGTTGTGTTTCTCAACACAACTGTGAGACTGTTATATAACTATATTTTAAAATACTCAAGTCCTGTTTACATTAATATAAGCAAATTAAGAAACAGATTGTTTCAGTTTTCAATGTTCGGAACTGGTTACACCGGTGCTTGGAGTCTGGGTGGTAGCATGCATTTACAATTTCCGTTCGTGAACAGGCTTACCAATTGTGAAACCGAGCCTGCAACTTTTTTCAAATTCGTCATTTTGAGTGCTCCTTAAGGTTTCAATTTTTCTATTTCATAAAAATAAATATATCTGCTTATTCTTTTTTGATAAAAAGTTATGATTCGTATTTTAAGGTGTTGCATATTTGGCCGGAGTTTGTACAAGTAATGCATATTCTATCAATGAAATGACAGCATTCAAACCGTCGATATCAATTGTTGTCGCACATGAGATTGGACATAAGTAAGTTAATTACACTGTTACTTGTTGTTGTTTTTTCTGTTAGTATTTTGTAGAAAGTGATAAGTTAAAGAATTTCGTCGGAGTCAAGTGATACAGTGTCTTTAAGAACCGCACTAAATGTAACTCAGCTTTTCCTTGCATATCAGACTGGATTATCTACTGTTTAAACAACCGGTGCTAGAAAATCCCGTCTTTCACCCCATGTAAGATAAGTCACGAGCTTTAAATGACGGCATATCCGCGTGCCTTTTTGAACGATTTGTATTTTTAGAATGACGTCTTTTAACCGTTATATGAATGAAGTTGGAAGTTGTTAGTTCATACGCTACTATAAGAAAAAAAGGACGTAATGAGAATATCAGTTTTCGTAATTTCTGTTCTGAAAGTAATTGATATGTAATATGCAAGAGAAAGAATCAAGCACCGGCTGTCGGTACAGACGGGAATATCTAGCTCTCGGGTAACTGTTTAACAGAAACTCGGCCGAGCCTCGTTACGGCCGTAAACAGTCACCCTCGAGCTAGATATTCCGGTCTGTACTAGTAGCCGGTGTAAGATTCATATAATTTGGTCGTTTTCCAATTGTTTATTACTTGAAAATTTCAAAAAATGTTAACTATGAAACTGAGAGGTCAATATTAGCCAGTGTCCATTGGGACGGTTATTGAGTGCCGTAAATAGCGACCGTTACATAGAAAATCTAACGTCATTTTTATACGCCCGTTTGAAAAACGGGACGTATTATGGGAACGCCCCTGGCTGTCCAATTTTGTCCGGAGCATATCTCCTACATGTATGGAGGAATTTTAATGAAACTTCATAGAAATGTTCACCACTATGAGGAGCAGTGTCGCACACATGAACCAGGTCTCTAGGTCAAAGGTCAAGGTCACAGATAGAGCTCATTGAAAAATGCTTGTCCGGAGCAAAACTTCCACATGTATAGAGGGATTTCAATATTACTTGGCACAAATGTTCACCATTGTGAGGCGGAGTGTCGCGCGCAAGATTCATGTCCTTGCGGCCAAGGTCAAGGTCACACATAGAGGTCAAAGTTCAGATAAAAATATGAAGATGTGTATATGGACCATTTAGTCATCATTTATTGAGGGATTGTAACACAAATGGTCATTATCAAGACTATGGCTGTGATACATATAATTTAGGTCAATATATACAAGGTCAAGGTCACTAAAGATGATGAAATATCCAGATTTTGTCCGGAGCATATCTCCTACACGCATGGAGGGATTTTAATGAAATTTCAGAGAAATGTTCACCATTATGAGAAGCCATGTCACGCACATGAACTAGGTCTCTAGGTCAAAGGTCAAGGTCACACTTAGAGCTCATTGAAAAACGCTTGTCCGGAGCAAAACTTCCACATGCATAGAGGGATAACATAATAACTTGGCACAAATGTTCACCATTGTGAGGCGGAGTGTCGCGCACAAAATTCAGGTCCCTGCAGCCAAGGTCAAGGTCACACATAGAGGTCACAGTTTAGATAAAAATATGAAGATGTGTATAGGGACGATTTAATCATCATTTATTGAGGGATTGTAACACAAATGGTCATTATCATGACTACGGCTGTGACACATGTACTTTAGGTCAATATATGCAAGGTCAAGGTCACTAAAAATGGTGAAATATCCAGATTTTGTCTGGAGCATATCTCCTACATGTATGGAAGAATTTTTATAATACTTTATGAAAATGTTCACCACCATGATATGTATTGCTCCATGCATGATCCAGGTCTCCAGGTCAAAGGTCAAGGTCACACTTAGAGCTCATTGAAAAACGCTTGTCTGGAGCAAAACTTCTACATTCATAGGGGGATTTCAATATAACTTGGCACAAATGTTCACCATTGTTAGCCATTTAGTCATCATTTATTGATGGATTGTAGCACAAATGGTAACTATCATGACTACATGTGTGACACATTTAATTTAGGTTAATATTTGCAAGGTCAAGGTCACTGGAGATGATTAAATATCCAGATGTTGTCCGGAGCATATTTTCTACATGCATGGAGGAATTTTAATGTTACTTTATAGAATTGTTCACCACCATGAGACGTAGTGCCCTGCACATGAACTAAGTCTCTAGGTCAAAGGTGAAGGTCACAGTTATAGCTCATAGAAAAACGCTTGTCTGGAGAAAACTTCTACATGCATAGAGGGATTTTAATATAATTTGGCACAAATGTTCATCATTGTGAGGCTGAGTGCCGTGCATAAAATTCAGGTCCCTGCGACCAAGGTCAAGGTCACACATCCTGTGCATATCTTCCCTACTGATTTGTTTTAAGGTTCATTTAACAACACAGTGCCAAGAATAAAAACTTGCTTGCTAGATAACACTTATCCATAATGCCCCCATCTCCATCTAAAGCTTTCGTAAACGGGCGTATTTTGTGACTATGGCACCCTTGTTCTCTTTCTGTTTTATTTTTAACTTCTCGTACCTAAGTTCGTTATAGTTTATCAAATAAATATCAAAAGTATACAAAATAATGAAAATTAAATTCAAAAGCTGAAAATATAAAATATCAGAAATTCTGATATATCGGACCGTGGTGGCAGAGATCTCTGTACTCATAAGGGGAGATCACTGCGTAGGAGATTGGTTTAGTTGTACAGTTAATGGTTGCTTCCCTTTACTTGATATCCATTAATGCTATGTTATATAATTATATGATCATACCTCTCTGATACCTAGGCATTCTCACTTAAGCTCCGGTCTTAACAACATGTATTAAATGGTTATAATAAATAAAAGAATCGTTTGAATCTTGTTATCATCCATGCAACATAACATTGTTGAACTTTGCAGATTTCATAGAGTGGTCAGCTACATAGTTTATTTCATTGTTTAATATTTTTCTCATTAATCGTTTCGTTTCGGTTTCAGTTTAGGATCACATCATGATGGTTATACGAATAGCTGTCCGTATGGAGGTATCATGACGCCCTATCTTAAAATATCCTATGACTCATCCAAGAACCTAAAAATTTGGCGGTTTTCGTCTTGTTCACAGACATATTTTGACACTCATATCACCTTTTTGAATCAAGTGTAAGTTTAAAGTTTAATTAGTGGTGAATATGATTAATTATCTTTATTTCATGCTTTCAAGTGTTTTACTGTAATATATCAGATGATTATATTCTGATAAAGCACTAAAGTCTGTCCCATCAAATTTGAACATTCCATTTTTAATTTAATATATTAGTAAAATCATTTATATTAATGTCATGTTAACCCTGACGTCAATATCTCTAGGCATGTTTTTCATTTTTTTCATAAAGTCAGTAATATGGTCAAAATGTTAAAATTATATTTTTTCCCGTTGACTTACGTTGTAACCTGACGTGACGTCCATTTCAAAATGGCGGCGCCCATATGGACATCATTTAGGGTTCTTCGAATCTCACAATTAGCGTGAAAAGTACTCCGTAATTATAAAAGAAATGATTATTCCTATTTACTTCCTGGTCAATAACTAAATGTTATCATTAAAATGAAATATGAGAACAAAGTTGGTGTCAAAAAGGCAATTTTACTAGCAAACGATTATTTAAAATAATCAAAATCACTTGAAGTGAAAATATCAGTAACCGCGTATCTTGAATCGTAGGGGAGCGGAAACACTAGCTAGAAGACTATAACAAATGGTTCTTCGCTAATTAATGTTTAATTACATAATTTCTGTAAATTTTTCAATTTCCCCTTGAAAACGAAAAAAAAAAAAATGAAAATACGAAAAAATTTTAAAAAATGGTTATTCTACGGGGCCCTGTTTTGCGTTTTAAAAAATTTCCGTTTGGTTTTAACTTTTCCCCAAAAATTTGGGCCCCCTAAAAGAAAAGGGGAAAATAAAAAACCTTTTAAAATTTTTTCTTAAAAAACGGCTTTTAATTTTTGTAGGGAAAAAATAAAATTAAAATTTTAAATTTTTATTTTTCCCCCGTTAAAAATTTATCCTGGGAAAAAAAACCGGGGGGTAAATTTTATATTTTTTCAAAAAATTGTGCGTAAATTTATTTTAAAAAAAACCCTCCATTAATATTTCCCCTAAAATTTTTTTTAAAAATAAAAAACGAAGGCCTTTTTTTTACTAAAAAATTTTTTTTGTTTAAAAATTACAAAAAATTTTTAACTCCTTTTCCCCCGTCTCACAATTCAACAAAATGTCCAGAAATACCCAAAGGGGTACGGCTCATTGAATGTTCACAAAATATGTATTTGATGGTAGAAATATATTCCTAGCCGGACTAGGTTCTCTCCCTTGTTTTATTTTCTCTATTTTAGAAGATCTTGAACTTTTTCTGAATGATGATCCATCGTGTGGTTTAAATATTGATGAAATCCTGCTTGTCATTATGTTGTTTGCTGATAACATGGTGCTTTTTAGTAATACTCCCGTTGATCTTCAATGCAAGCTCGACTTGTTAAAATTATATTGTGATCGCTGGGTCTTATTGTCAATACTGAAAGAACTAAGGCTGTGGTTTTCCGAAAGCGAGGTTATATAAGACCCGACTAGCACTGGCATTACGCGAACTCCTCTCTTGGAGTTGTCGATAATTTTAATTACCTGGGCACTGTGTTTTCTTACAACGGCTCTATAAAGTAAACCAAGACACACTAATTGGTAAAGGCTTTAAATGTACTGGAATTTTACTATCGCGCCTTCAATTCAATGTAGCCCGAGTGACATAATGCTGCGCATCCGAACGACAGTGCTTTTTATCAAGCAATAAATTCACCGATTTGAATAATTATATTATTTTGATTCTAACACGACATCAACAAATAAATGCTGCCGTACCTGGTATTTAGCTAAATTGTGCCTGATTGTCTCCGTACTACGCGTGTCTCATTTTAGTGGTTACGTCACAGGCATATAATGATTACGTCACATGTCTAAATATAGAACGTCAACACTGGTTTATTGCATAATAACACTATTCAATATGGAAAAATGCGGGGTCGTGTTTCAATT